CATTGCGAGATGCACTTCTCTCATACGCCAAACACATTGGCAAAGTTGTTTTAAACTCCAAATTCAGTAGCTACTCGTGCTCGGTCGCAAGCAATCATGCATTGCGAGATGCACCTCTCTCATACGCCAACCACATTGGCAAAGTTGTTTTAAAATCCAAATTCAGTAGCTACTCGTGCTCGGTCGCCAGCAATCATGTAATTGCGAGATGCACGTCACTCATACGCCAAACACATTGGCCAATTTATGTAAAAGCCAAATTCAGTAGCTACTCGTGCTCGGTCTCAAGCAATCATGTAATAGCGACATGCACCTCGCTCATACGCCAGCACATATTGGCAACGTTGTTTTAAAATCCAAATTCAGTAGCTACGCGTTTGCGGTCTCAAGCAAGCATGCAATTGTGAGATGAACTTCTCGTATACGCCAAACACATTGGCAACGTTGTTTAAAATCCAAAGTCAGTATAGCTATACGTACTCGGTCTCAAGCAATCATACAATTGCGAGATGCGCTTCGCCCATGCACCAAACTCATTGGCCACTTTGGCTTAAAGCCAAATTCAGTAGCTACTCGTGCTCGCTCACAAGCAATCATACAATTGCGAGATGCCCGTCTCTCATACGCCAAACACATTGGCAACTTTGTTTAAAATCCAAATTTAATAGCTACTCGTGCTCGGTCTCAAGCAATCATGTAATTGCGACATGCACCTCGCTCATACGCCAAAACATATTAGCAACTTTGCTTTAAAATCCAAATTCAGTAGCTACTCGTTTTCGGTCCCCAGCAAGCGTGCAATTGTGAGATGAACTTCTCGTATACGCCAAACACATTGGCAACGTTGTTTAAAATCTAAAGTCAGTAGCTTTTCGTGCTCGGTCTCAAGCACTCATGCATTGCTACATGCACGTCTCTCATACGCCAAACTCATTGGCCACTGTGCCCTAAATCGAAATGCAATAGCTACTCGTGCTCGATCACAAGCAATCATACAATTGCGGGATGCACTGCTCTGTTACGCCAAACACATCACCCACTTTGCCGTAAATCCAAATTCACTGAGCGAATCGTGCTGGGTTTCAAGCAAACATGCTTTGGAAGATGCACATTGCTCATGCGCTAAATACATTGGCCACTGTGCCTTAAATCCAAATGCAGTAACTAATCTTGTTCGGTCGCAAGCAATCATGCATTGCGAAATGCACATCTCTCATACGTCAAACACATTGGCAAAGTTGTTCTAAAATACAAATTGAGTAGCTAATCGTGCTCGGTCACAAGCAATGATGTAATTGCGAGATGCACGTCTCTCATACGCCAAACCATTGGCAACTTTGTTTAAAATCCAAATTCAATAACTACTCGTGCTCGGTCTCATGCCATCTGGCATTACGAGATGCACTTTTCTCATACACCAAACACATTGGCAACTTTGTTTAAAATCCAAATTCAGTAGCTACTCGTGCTCGGTCTCAAGCCATCTGGCACGGCCAGATGCACTTTTCTCATACACCAAACACATTGGCAACTTTGTGTAAAATCCAAATTCAGGAGCTACCCGTGCTCGATCGCAAGCAAGCTAGCATTGCGAGATGCACTTCTCTCATACCGCCAAACACATTGGCAACTTTGTACAAAATTCAAATTCAGTAGCTACACGTGCTCGGTCTCAAGCAATCTGGCATTGCGAGATGCACTTCTCTCAGACGCCAAACACATTGGCAACTTTGTATAAAATCCAAATTCAGTAGCTACGCGTGCTCGGTCTCAAGCAATCACGCATTGCGAGATGCACTTCTCTCAAACACCAAACCCATTGGCAACTTTAGTTAACATCCAAATTCAGTAGCTACCCGTGCTCGGTGTCAAGCAAGCTAGCATGGCGAGATGCACCTCTCTCACACGCCAAACCCATTGGGAACTTTGTTTAAAATCCAAATTCAGTAGTTACTCGTGGTCGGTCTCAAGCAATCTAGCATGGCGAGATGCACGTCTCTCATACGCCAAATCCATTGGCAACTTTGCGGTTTAAAATCCAAATTCAATAGCTACTTGTGCTCGGTCTCAAGCAATCTAGCATTGCGAGATGCACGTCTCTCACACGCCAAACCCATTGGCAACTGTGTTTAAAATCCAAATTCAATAGCTACTCGGTCTCAAGCAATCTAGCATTGCGAGATGCACGTCTCTCATACGCCAAACCCATTGGCAACTTTGTTTAAAATCCAAATTCAATAGCTACTCGTGCTCGGTCTCAAGCAATCTAGCATTGCGAGATGCACGTCTCTCATACGCCAAACCCATTGGCAACTTTGTTTAAAATCCAAATTCAGTAGTTACTCGTGGTCGGTCTCAAGCAATCTAGCATGGCGAGATGCACGTCTATCATACGCCAAACCCATTGGCAACTTTGTTTAAAATCCAAATTCAATAGCTACTCGTGCTCGGTCTCAAGAAATCTAGCATTGCGAGATACACGTCTCTCATACGCCAAACCCATTGGCAACTGTGTTTAAAATCCAAATTCAATAGCTACTCGTTCTCAAGCAATCTAGCATTGCGAGATGCACGTCTCTCATACGCCAAACCCATTGGCAACTTTGTTTAAAATCCAAATTCAATAGCTACTCGTGCTCGGTCTCAAGCAATCTAGCATTGCGAGATGCACGTCTCTCATACGCCAAACACATTGGCAACTTTGTTTAAACTCCAAATTCAGTAGCCACTCGTGCTCGGTCTCAAGCAATCTGACATTGCGAGATGCACGTCTCTCATACGCCAAACCCATTGGCAACTTTGTTTAAAATCCAAATTCAATAGCTACTCGTGTTCGGTCTCAAGAAATCTAGCATTGCGAGATGCACGTCTCTCATACGCCAAACCCATTGGCAACTGTGTTTAAAATCCAAATTCAATAGCTACTCGGTCTCAAACAATCTAGCATTGCAAGATGCACGTCTCTCATACGCCAAACCCATTGGCAACTTTTTTTAAAATCCAAATTCAATAGCTACTCGTGCTCGGTCTCAAGCAATCTAGCATTGCGAGATGCACGTCTCTCATACGCCAAACACATTGGCAACTTTGTTTAAACTCCAAATTCAGTAGCCACTCGTGCTCGGTCTCAAGCAATCTGACATTGCGAGATGCACGTTTCTCATACGCCAAACCCATTGGCAACTTTGTTTAAAATCCAAATTCAATAGCTACTCGTGCTCGGTCTCAAGCAATCTAGCATTGCGAGATGCACGTCTCTCATACGCCAAACCCATTGGCAACTTTGTTTAAAATCCAAAGTTCAGTAGCTACTCGTGCTCGGTCTCAAGCAATCTGGAATTGCGAGATGCACGTCTCTCATACGCCAAACCCATTGGCAACTTTGTTTAAACTCCAAATTCAGTAGCCAGTCGTGCTCGGTCTCAAGCAATCTGACATTGCGAGATGCACTGCTCTCATGCGCCAAACATATTGGCAACTTTGTTCAAAATCCAAATTCAGTAGCTACCCGTGCTCCATCTCAAGCAATCTGGCATTGCGAGATACACCTCTCTCATACGCCAAACCCATTGGCAACGTTGTTTAACATCCAAATTCAGTACCTCCTCGTGCTCGGTCTCAAGCAATCTAGCATTGCGAGATGCACTTCTCTCATACGCCAAACACATTGGCAACTTTGTTTAAAATCCAAATTCAGTAGCTCCTCGTGCTCGGTCTCAAGCAATCCAGCATTACGAGATGCACATCTCTCATACGCCAAACACATTGGCAACTTTGCTTAAAAAGCCAAATTCAGTAGCTACTCGTGCTCGGTCTCAAGCAATCTAGCATTGCGAGATGCACTTCTTTCATACGCCAAACACATTGGCAACTTTGTTTAAAATCCAAATTCAGTAGCTCCTCGTGTTCGGTCTCAAGCAATCTAGCATTACGAGATGCACATCTCTCATGCGCCAAACACATTGGCAACTTTGTTTAAAAAGCTAAATTCAGTAGCTACTCGTGCTCGGTCTCAAGCAATCTAGCATTGCGAGATGCACTTCTCTCATACACCAAACACATTGGTAACTTTGTTTAAAATCCAAATTCAGTAGCTACCCGTGCTCGGTCTCAAGCAATCTAGCATTGCGAGATGCACTTCTCTCATACGCCAAACACATTGGCAACTTTGTTTAAAAAGCCAAATTCAGTAGCTACTCGTGCTCGGTCTCAAGCAATCTGGCATTGCGAGATGCACTCCTCTCATACGCCAAACCCATTGGCAACTTTGTTTAAAATCCAAATTCAGTAGCTACCCGTTCTCGGTTGCAAGCAAGGTAGCATTGCGAGATGCACTTCTCTCATACGCCAAACCCATTGGCAACTTTGTTTAAAATCCAAATTCAGTAGCTACTCGTGCTAGGTCTCAAACAAGCTAGCATTGCGAAATGCACGTCTCTCGTACGGCAAACACATTGACAACTTTGTTTAAAATCCAAGTCAGTATATGTACCCGTGCGCGGTCTCAAGCAACCATGCATTGCGAGATGCACCCCTCTCACACGCCATACCCTCTCATACTCCGTTTTTAAACAACCTTGTTTAAAATCCAAATTTAGTTGCTATATACCCGTGCTCGCTCTCTAGAAATTATGCACTTGCGAGATGCACTTCTCTTACACGCGAAACACATTGGCAACGTTGGTTAAAATCCAAATTAATTAGCGACTCGGACTCGGTCGCAAGCAATCATGCAATTGCGAGAGAAACTTTTTTCATACGCCAAACCCATTGGCAACTGCTAAATCCATAGTAGGATTTGTGCTCGGTCGCATGCAAGCAATTATGTATTGCGAGATGCCCTTCGGTCATACGGCAAACACGGTGGTCCTCTTTCGCCCAAGCAAATGCAATAAACTACGGAAGCTCGGAATGAAGCAATCATGCAGTGCGCTCCCGTCCCATACCATACGAAAATACAATACCCAATAACCATTTTATTAAAGGCGAAAGTAATCACTATAGCCTAGCTATTTTGCTTTGCAACAATTTAATCTTGCGAAATACACGACCCGCTCGCGTAGAACATTAACAAAATTAACAATGCTAAATAAAACCAGACGGGAATCATTCATGCGTCGCAATCACAACTGAACTAAAATAACCGAAAGCGAACTTGACGGTAAATAACCCCGCACAAGGACGGAAATACACATCAGATGAAGATATAATGTATAACATACAACAGAACTGTAACTAAAACGACAAGTGTAAGCGATCTTTAAACACACACAGAAAAGAGGCGGCCGTATTTTCCGATCAGCCGCCCACGAGTGAACCATGCATGCATGCGTTATACAACGAAAAATAACTTCGCCACACCGATCATATACTGCTAACAAAGCGATATAACTACCCAAAGGGCAAAAATCTTAACTAGACCCGCAAAAAAAACACGCTACAATACAGACAAATACCAATATGAATAAAAGAATCACGTCCAAGTCCAAGTTTGATGCCTGAAGCTGTTCATTTTTAATTGGATCATTCACCGGGGAAACTGGTTCATTCTGAGGCGGAGCGGAATCAAGATCAATCGGTTGGGCAACAGCATTAAGTCGCAAGTACCGCTTCTTGTAACGTGCAAGGAGGTCGAACAGGCGTGGATCCATACTGTAAAGTCCGTAAATGTCTTTATCTTGCACTTCTCTGTCTTGGCGATCAGCACAGAAAGAGCAGCTACAACCTGTAAACTAGGGTTTTATGCATTGTACATCATTATTTATTCATAAAAGAACGTTAATTACTCGAATTCCATTAGTTAATCAGCTTCCGCGGCGTGTTTGCCCAATTTGAATAGGGCTCCCGAAACAAATATTTGCCCCAGGCCTCCGAATTTCTCTGATAGGCCCTGAATATCGTAATCGCCATTTTATATTGAAATAATTATAAGTCGATGGCATTACGATGTCCTGTTAGCAATGTTAGTATGGCCACGGTTGTCAGTGCACGAGGTAATTATTGAAAACAATAAATTATTTTTATAAAACCCCTGTCGCGAATATTGATTTTTAAGCTTCGGCCTTCGCATAGCCTGCTCGCCTTCCGAGGGGCCCGCCGTGGCGTTCAAAAGCGTATGATATTTTGAATTAGGTGGTCTCACAAACTATTAATCAAATATGATCTTTGTGAAGCTCAAGGTTGTGACTATTTCCACAAAAGTGGCTTTATCGGCCTTTACCCGTCACCAAAACAAACACATCCGCTATGCGGAACAGAAGGTGACGATGGATGTGCTAAATCCCATATCAAATGGCATACATGCTTTGAAACAACCGGATAGCAATCGGGCAATCGAAATGCGGCCAATGCCAATAAATGGCAATTTTAATTCAGCTATAATTTGTAATTATGAAACATAATGATCTATAGTTAAATTAATTAAACAGTAAGCATACAAATAAATGTGAAACAAAGTTTCATATCTTATAAGTTACAAAATTAATTCACCTACTGTATAATAATTTTAACATTCAGCAGTGAAATGAACTCTGAACAGCATGCGTCTTAATTATGCCGCGGTTTAATTAGTTACACTCGTAAGGGCATTCTTCGCTACACGGTTCATAACTGCGATTAACGTAACTGGCAACCGCGTCGCTTAAAAGTATTTCGCTTCTCAGACAATTCCTTACTAAAGAACCACCAGTCCTGAAATAGTTTTAAATAAACGCGTATGTTTATAGTCGCATACAGAATTATCAGAATAAACCAACTGATAATTGTATATTGAATATCTTATATTTCATTAAAAAATAAGTGAATGTTTAATCAATGTTTGTAAATCGGATAAAGATGCGATCCTGATTTACATAAACTTTAGCTTTGATTTTTGCGCCTTAGACAATGTTTATTTTTAAAAATACTTCGTCAATGAACTCATAAGATGGGTCGTTATTTAAGCACTTGTATATCAGATAAAGACCGACTGCTCATGTTTTAACTAGTACTTAATAGGCCCTGTAAACTGTAACTATCAAATGGCATACAAATAATTTACAGATTGCATATATGCCTGACAATTACATTCAACGCACAATTCAAATGCCCATTTGACATATGCGTATCCCATTGGATCCAATGGACAACTCTAATGTCCACTGAACATATCTATGTCCATTGGATCCAATGGACAACTGAAATGTTCATTGGACATACGCCTGTCCAATGGATCCATCGGATCCAATGGACCATTGGACATACTCCCTTTGCCATCTCACAGGCCTGCTGCCAGCATGGGGTCGATGTCAACCTATGACGTCATTCCTGTTAACTTATTTACCGCACTACCAAATGTCCACTGGACATATGCCTGTCCATTTGGATGCAATGGACAAAATCAAATGTCCACTGGACATATCTATGTCCATTGGATCCAATGGACCATTGGACATACTCCCTTTGCCATCTCACAGGCCTGCTTAGCTACATGGGGTCGATGCCCACATATTACGTCATTCGAAATAACTTATTTACTGCACAACCAAATGTCCAGTGGACATATTCATGTCCATTGGATCCAATGGACAAATCAAATGTCCACTGGACATATCTATGTCCATTGGATCCAATGGACAAGTGGAATGTCCGATATGCCCATTGGACATGCACATGTCCAATGGATATTTGAGCTGTCCACTGGATCCAATGGACTGTCATATGTCCAATGGACATTTCATATGTCCATTAGACATTTGCGTTAGTATTGGACATGTATGGTGGACTTGTACAGGACTTGACCTAAATTCCCAAGTCCAGAGGTGTCAAGTCCGAGTCCAGGTCCGAGTTCTTTGATATCGAGTCCAAGTCCGATGTGTTCAAGTCCGAGTCATGCCATCAAATCCGGACTCGAGTCCAAATCGGGATTCGAGTACTACAACACAGATCCATAGTTTCCTCTCCCCGCCTTGGAAAGAAACTGGGGACAAGGCAGTCGATTAGTAGCTATCCCTTGGAAAATTCCATGCTGATATTTAACTTATCTCCTGGAATTTATTTTCCATTGTTGACCATCCCATGGAAATTCCATAAGTTTTAATCACTTTTAGGGATGCATCCAGCATGATCTGGCAGGCCAGGGGGGGGGGGGTGCTCTGAAAGTTCTGGTGCCTAGTTGTGTCTGTCATGTACGCTGCCGGCCATCAACTTGCTTGGCTACTGCATTTGAATTTGAATTGTTGTGCACAGTTATCTTATCATCGTGTAAATTATTACACAAATTACTGTATCTTATTTTGTCTCTAATATATTTTTGCTTTATCTTGAAAAATATAACCCTCACTCTGTCCGGACTAGGGATGTCACTCCTCCCCCCCCCATCCCAGTAAACCCATCCCTGCACATGTTAGGTGTAGGTAGCCTGGAGAATTTCCACAGATTTGCCATAAAAAAATTTAACCCTCCCATGCAAATTCCTTCACCTTTGGTTCACTTATTTGGGGAGAGGGGCTAATTCAAATTCCGCATTCCTCAATAGGGGCGGCAGGTGTTGGTATAAAAATGCCATGTGCCAATATTAAAAGTACTTGAGTCACTCAGGTGTAAGATTGTTTGACTTCGATTTTCTCCTGCTGTCTCCCTCCATAGCAAAGCCTGGTCTGAAGAGCATAATATGCTGTTTCTCAGAGAAGTCCTTGTGAGTGACTTGATTACGTACAGGAAGAGCATTGTTGAACGTGGCCAAGTATGGGAAGATATTGCAGAGAAGGTGAATGCTCTTGAATTCCCCAAATTTCGTGTTGGTCAATATTATTTGATGGATAAACGTAATAAACTGTTCAAGAACAGAGGGGACTTCCGTCTCCGCATGCGCGAGAAACGTAAGCGTGGAGTGCACGTGAGCGCGGGTTTATCGCGTGAACGAATTCTAAAACACAAATACCAAATTTGCCAAAACTACTCCTGTTATGAAGTCGTTTTCTTGTTTCTTTAGTGTTTCTACGCTCACAATTTTAGGCATTTCCGACTTAGAAATGTTTGCTTTGGAATAAGAACGTGAAAGTAGAAATAAAAGCTTTGTTGCAGCAGTTTAATTTCGCCGTACAAATATACCTGTTTTATATGTATATCTTTTTCGAAGTGAGATATACAAGTGAAACTTGTCATGACTTTCTTTAAATTCGTACTTGCCCTATTTTTGACAACAATAAAAACTACTTTTATACATGGAGAAACTATTTGACTTTAAGAATAAGCTGGAATTATGGAGAAGAATATGTTAGAGAAAGTCCGAGAAGTCCTTTTGAGTGAATTGTTTATGTACAGAACGAGCATTGTTGAACGTGGCCCAGTATGGGAAGATATTGCGGACAAGCTGAATGCTCTTGAATTCCCCAAATTTCGTGCTGGTCAGGGTTATTTGAGGGATAAACGTTGACGTAATAAACTGTCGAAGTGGTTTAAAAAGAAGGATCGGGGAGAATTAAGTGCATCAGCAATTGACCATAGCAATTGACCCAGAATTGGATTAAAAATCGGAGTTGTTGAAAAGATATTGGAAACGATAGAGTCGACAGTATCAATAAACCTTTCCAAAAAAAAAGAAAGACATGAATATAAGCACACAGCTGAAGAAGTCCGAAATTTGGCCATTTAATACCTTGGGAAATACACAGAGGAGAAAGGGTGAAAATGCTGCAGAAAATGTTGCCGTTAAGGAAAAGAAGAAGTCGGAGCGATGCTGAGGAATTCCTAAAGGAAAGAACCGAGCAAAAATATGAATTAAGAAAGGCTGAAATTGAAGCAAGGGAGCACACAGAATAAGCCTCAAATAAGCATTTGCAGCAGCAACAGCAATTCCTGAAAACCCTTGTGCAGTTATACTGGCGCAACAGCAACAAGACAATGCCTGAAAACAGGAACAGCAGCAGAATATGTTGTTGATGCAAAAGCAACAGCAAATATTGACATATTTGCAATAAATATCGAGAAAAACACGGTGAATTAACCTGTCGGCATAAACTGTGTTAACTTTCTTGTTGGATATTTTCCTTGATCTTTACATGTAATTGACATTAATTATTAATAATTAAGGTTAGCAAAGTGCAGAAATAACCATAAGGATCATGCTATCCTGCACGGGAAAACCATTTGGTAATTGTTTTATAAAATTACTGCAGTGAAACAATGGTTAACTTGATTAAAATTACTGATGAAATGTGCAGTTCTCACAACATACATGTCCAATACTAACGCAAATTTCCAATGGACATATGAAATGTCCACTGGACATATGACTGTCCATTGGATCCAGTGAACAGCTCAAATGTCCATTGGACATGTGCATGTCCATTGGACATGTGCATGTCCAATGGACATATCGAATGTCCATTGGATATTCGAGTGTCAATTGGATCGAAAGGACTAAACCGGACTTTGTGACCACCAGGAAAGGGCATCGTGGATATATTGAATGAGTATAATGTCCAATGGTCCATTGGATCCAATGGACATTTGAAATGTCCAATGGACATATGAAATGTCCATTGGACATTTGACGACCAAGGAATGTCCATCAATTGAATATATAGCTACTTCTCAATGCTTCCTTTTATTATCAATATATTATGTTGCTAACGACGCAATATATCAATATATTATGTTGCTTTGTTCCTAAGAAAGCACGCAATATATCAATATAATATGTTGTTGCTTCGTTCTTAATGAACGACGCAATATATCAATATATCATGTTGCTTTGTTCCTAAGAAAGCACGCAATATATCAATATAATATGTTGTTGCTTCGTTGTTAAGGAACGACGCAATATATCAATATATTATGTTGCTTCGTTCCAAAGAAAGCACGCCATATATCAATATAATATGTTGTTGCTTCGTTCTTAAGGAACGACGCAATATATCAATATATTATGTTGCTTTCTTCCTAAGAAAGCACGCAATATATCAATATAATACGTTGTTGCTTCGTTCTTAAGGAACTCCGGAAAATTATCCATGGATTGGAACGGGCAAGAAAATTTCTCTTTGTGTTGAAGTCATTAGTTCCAACCCAGAGCTCACAACACAAAGAAAAATTTTCTTGTGCGTTCCAATCCACGGATAATTTTCCTGAGTTGAAAGTAGCCTTTACCTAATTGGTGGTTGGTGATTACTGATCGAGTCTACCTGCAAAACATCAACTAATAAACTGTGTACTGAAGTCATTCAGTCACACTACAGTTGTAATTAAGAGAACATTGGTATCTTTTCGATTCTTGCCACGAGAAATATTTGCGTATATAAGTATAACTATTCACTACGGTCGATCGAGCTGTAAGTTTGAAATACCGGCCGCTTTAACACGATGCACAAAAGACATGCATGTATCGACATTCAATTTATTCAGGCTTTAGTCCCATTCAGACACAACCGATATTAAACATCCGAGTATTTTGCATAAGTATGCAAATTCAAAAGCGGAAACCCGTAGCCTCGTAGGAATCAGAAATTTTGCTTATGCTTACGTATCCATAATGATGTTATTTTATAAAATAACATGTGTATAAAGGCCTGATTCCACGGGCGCTTTTTCTTGTCGAAATGCGAAATATTTCGCCTGTTTCTTTTGAATTGTGATCAATCAAGTAGAAATATTTTATTCGAGTAGTCGCAATTCAAAAGAAACAGGCGAAATATTTCGCATTTCGGCGAGAAAAAGCGCTCGTGGAATCAGGCCTTAACGCGTGCTCTGATTGGGCGAAACCCGTGTTTGAATAAGGCCATCCAAACACGGAAATTTAAAGTCAAAGTTTTTTTAATGTGAAATTTTAACGCGTAAAGTTGTTATTTTATAAAACAGTTGGCTTATATGCTTTCCGTGTCCATCCAAACACGGAAACCATAAAGTAATTGTACAATGAGGCCATAATTAAGTCCGCTTTCGTCTTTAGACGGGAGGTCAACTATTTGCTTCCTTCTAATATCATATGAAATGTCCATAGCATTCACATATGCCAAATTCTATAGAGTTAAGGGGCTGATTACATGGAGAGTTTCAGCCCGGACTGAGTTTCAGCCCGGTTAAACGAGCTGAAATTGCAATATTGCATCACGATTACATGAGCAGTTTGGGCCCGGGCCGAGTTTAGTCAGAACTAATCCTATATTTATAGTCAACCCGGGCTAAAATCTCAGCCGGGGCTGAAATAATCGGACTGTCACGACCAATAAGCCCATTACGCTTCTTTGAAGCATTCAGACGCTGATTAGTCGACTATTTGACTTGTGTGACGAGACTGTGCTTATATGTAAAGTATTTAAAGAAGTAACAAACACGCAAAATAAAGCCATTTCAACTGTTGTTTTTTTAGCCCGGGCTGAAATTATTTGCGATTACATGGTGCCTGGCTGAAACTCAGCACGGGCTGAAATTTCAGCTCAAACCGGGCTGAAATTTCAGCCCGGAACTGGAATTTTGGTCATGTAATCGCTTGCTCTGTTTTAATAGGATTTATCTTTAGGACTTTATCCAAATCCGCTAGCGAATATGGACCGAGGAGTCCATATCCTCTAGCGAATATGGACCTATGGGGGTCTTTTTTTCGCTAGCGGATTTGGACTCCCCTCGCGAATTTGGACCCCTCGCGTATTTTGTCATTGCAACGTATCGTATTTTGAATATTGTACTGAAAGCGTTCTCTTTTCAAATGTTAGATTTTTAGATTGGAGAATTCCGTCAAAGTTTATGATTTATAATTTTTTGGGACATGGGTTTATTTCTATGATCTTGGAATGTGCGAGAGCTGAGAAGCGCATAAAGCCTTCACAAGTATTTTACTCCTTGGAATTGCTATCTGCTCTGACTTTTAAGGATAGTTTCCACTCAGGAAAATTAGAACAACAAACAAGATGTTATCTTTCTTTGTGTTAAAGTCATTAGTTCCAACCCACAGCTCACAAGACAAAGAAAAATTTTCTTGTCCGTTCCAAACCACGGATAATTTTCCTGAGTGGAAACTTGCCTTTAACTGCTCAAATAAAAACGGAAAATGAAAATATACCTGGGGGTCCCTATCCGCGGGGAGTCCAAATCCGCTGTGACACCGGGAAACCTGGATCAAACACAGCCCGGGCTCAAAACTCTCCATGTAATCAGCCCCTTTCAAAATCACATTGTCCACTATTATATTAAAACTTATGGAAATTAAGCGTTACACGTTTACGCTTATGTCATATTTGTTTCCTTCTACATTTCGTGCAAAAAAAGATCAATCGTATTCGCTTCTTTCTGCATGCATAAAGTCGATTTTCCACTTCGCGTTTTCGGCGTAAAAATGTTCTTTACATAGTTTTTTTCCTATTCGAGGAGTTAACGTGCCCCAACAGTCAATGAAAATCATTAACTTATGCTAGAAATTTCATCGACGTATGTAAACAAGAACCAAACACACTCACGAAAGACAAAATCGTTCGCAAAATTTTCGTCGACGGCGGGCGAAAACGTTAACACCGTAAGTGGAAACTCGACTTTACTATATAGGCACACACTTCAAGCATCACGGTAACAACACGTTTTAACTATGTTCACGATCTTCGGTAGTACTCACATACATTTTATCTCATAAGAATATATATATATATATATATATATACGCACATGAGAGAAAAATAAAGGTCCGCCCACGTATTCTAAAAGCTCACTCACACTGAATGAGTGGAGGTTCAATCTCAGCTTCTCTTGAGTGTCAATGCTGTTTTTCAATAGCTATAGAGGATTGGTGTCGTACATTACTATGTTACTACTCACTCTCCAGCTATTCAAAAACAGCATTGACACTCAAGAGATGCTAAGATTGAATCTTCACTCAATTAATGTGAGTGACCTTTTAGAATACAGGTGTAAGGATTAACTTTGTTAGCCGGTTGTCATTCAACACGTAACTCACTATATGGTACCGCTATAACAATCACAGGAAGCCGATTGGCGATTCAGCAGCCTTATAAAATTGTCCAAATTTGAAAAAGTTTGTGCATATAAAAACAACATAACACGCCGCATCTTCTCCGAATATATAACTCATAACAAATATATATATATATATATATATATATATATATATATATATATATATATATATATATATATATACACACATGAGACAAAAATAAAGTTTTTAAGAATTTTGGGTTGTCTAAATACTGAACACAATCAACCAAACTACGTACGGCTGTAAAAGAAATATCTAGAACATTTGTTACCCTCAATATTCGCGAGAAATACGTTGAATTTTCAAAAGATTCTGCCTCAGCAAGACTGGACATCTATGACTATAAATATAATATCACAGAGATCTCAGTGACCATTACCAGTGTTTCCACTCTCCAAAAGGTCAGGGCCTTCCAAAGGGGTGGTGGGGGGGCACTGGGGTAAATTTGCGCCGGCCCCCCAGTTTAAGGGGAGCCCAAAATTTTCAAAATTAAAAAATAATTTCGAACTTGTTTTGCTATAAATAATGGTATAACACATTTATTGATCGAAAAAAAGGGTCTGACCCATGTTGTAATAGGAATTTGTGGGGAAAAATTTTTTGCCCAGGCCTCCGAATTTCTTTGATAGGCCCTGATTATCGTAATCGCCATTTTATATGGAAATAATTATAAGTCGATGGCATTACGATGTCATGTTAGCAATGTTAGTATGGCCACGGTTGTCAGTGCACGAAGTAATTATTGAAGACAACAAATTATTTTTATAAAACCCCTGTCGCGAATATTGATTTTTAAGCTTCGGCCTTCGCATAGCCTGCTCGCCTTCCGAGGGGCCCGCCGTGGCGTTCAAAAGCGTACGAGATTTTGAAATTAGGTGGTCTCACAAACTATTAATTAAATATGACCTTTTGAAGCTCAAGGTTGTGACTATTTCCACAAAAGTGGCTTTCTCGGCCTTTACGCGTCACCAAAACAAACACATCCGCTATCCGGAACAGAAGATGACGATGGATGTGCTAAATCCCATATCAAATGGCATGCATGCTTTGAAACAACCGGATGGCAATCGGGCAATCGAAATGCGGCGCATGCTAATAAATGGCAATTTTAATTCAGCTATAATTTGTAATTATGAAACATAATGATCTATAGTTAACTTAGTTAAACAGTAAGCATACAAATAAATGTGAAACAAAGTTTCATATCTTATAAGTTACAAAATTAATTCACCTACTGTATAATAATTTTAACATTCAGCACTGAAATGAACTCTGAACAGCATCCGTCTTAATTATGCAGTTTAATTAGTTACACTCGTAAGGGCATTCTTCGCTACACTGTTCATAACTGCGATTAACGTAACTGGCAACCGCGTCGCTTAAAAGTATTTCGCTTCTCAGACAATTCCTTACTAAAGGACCACCAGTCCTGAAATAGTTTTAAATAAACGCGTATGTTTATAGTCGCATACAGAATTATCAGAATAAACCAACTGATAATTGTATATTCAATATCTTATATTTCATTAAAAAATAAGTGAATGTTTAATCAATGTTTCTAAATCGGATAAAGATGCGATCCTGATTTACATAAACTTTAGCTTTGATTTTTGCGCCTTAGACAATGTTTATTTTTAAAAATACTTCGTCAATGAACTCATAAGATGGGTCGTTATTTAAGCACTTGTATATCAGATAAAGACCGACTGCTCATGTTTTAACTAGTACTTAATAGGCCCTGTAAACTGTAACTATCAAATGGCATACAAATAATTTACACATTGCATATATGCCTCACAATTATACATTCAACGCACAATTCAAATGCCCATTTGACATATGCGTATCCCATTGGATCCAATGGACAACTCTAATGTCCACTGGACATATCTATGTCCATTGGATCCAATGGACAACTGAAATGTCCATTCGACATACGCCTGTCCAATGGATCCATTGGATCCAATGCACCATTGGACATACTCCATTTGCCATCTCACAGGCCTGCTGCTAGCATGGGGTCGATGTCAACCTATGACGTCATTCCTGTACTTATTTATTACTTATTTATTACTTATTTATTACTTATTTATTACTTATTTATTACTTATTTATTACTTACTTATTTACCGCACTACCAAATGTCCACTGGACATATGCCTGTCCATTGGATCCAATGGACAAAATCAAATGTCCACTGGACATATCTATGTCCATTGGATCCAATGGACAAGTGAAATGTCCATTGGACATATGCATGTTCAATGGATCCATTGGATCCATTGGACCATTGGACATACTCTCTTTGCCATCTCACAGGCCTGCTTACCTGCATGGGGTCGATGCCCACATATTACGTCATTCGAAATAACTTATTTACTGCACAACCAAATGTCCAGTGGACATATTCCTGTCCATTGGATCCAATGGACAAATCAAATGTCCACTGGACATATCTATGTCTATTGGATCCAATGGAAAAGTGAAATTTCCATTGGACATATGCATGTCCAATGAATCCATTGGATCCAATGGACCATTGAACATACTCCCTTGCCATCTCGCAGGCCTGCTTACCTGCATGGGATCGATGCCCACATATGACGTCATTCGAAATAACTTATTTACTGCACTACCAAATGTCCAGTGGACATATTCCTGTCCATTGGATCCAATGGACAAATCAAATGTCCACTGGACATATCTATGTCCATTGGATCCTTATGCCTGTCCATTGGATCCAATGGACAAATCAAATGTCCACTGGACATTTCAATATGTCCATTGGACATCTTGCAGAGGTATTGGACATTAATCCACAACAATCGTGAATTAACCAATCGGAGAATCGCTACTTCACGCTATTGGAAACAACAACAAACGTGAACAGAATTTGATCGCAAATTCGCGAAAATATACAGCGAAAATACAGAGACTTTTTCGATAAAATATACGAAATTTGAAGTAGTTTCGAAGATTCTCGACCAGAACACTTAAAGATTGCGAAGCGTTTGAAGTTTTGAACTTTGAAGCGAGAGATGTTCTACTTGCCATCGTCTGACGAATTTCAACGCTAGGAGTTGCTACTTGCTGAACAGCAATGTATCGATCAGAAATTTATTCATAAAACTAAACCAACGTTTCAATAATTGCATGCTTACTTCAAAGTCGAAAGGTATCGTACAATTAAACTTTACAATGCGAGTATATTTGTAAAATTATGTGCAAGAATTTCTGTTCAGAATTTACCGTGTACGATTGTCTGATCCTGCACGGCTGTTGACCGATCAAATTGCGTGTTTCAATGTAGTTATTATATAATAAGTACATTACCAGAAATTTGATTCATTTTGTTCCCGCGGTCCTCTTGGTCAGTGGATATTCTAAGGAATTTCTTTCGAAATCCAATAAAATTCAGACATTTTCTTGAATACAAGTTATTGTAATACAATTTTGATTCTGACGCTACTCATCTCATGAAAGAGTATGCAAATTTTGTAAACAGCGGAAATAAGCGAGTTAAAAGGCTTGGTTGCTAAGCTAAAGTAAATATGGCGGCTTTAAACTTCTCTGGAAAACAAATCGTGAATAATGGTCTTTTTTCCGCGCTGAACGGGAGATTGGCAAGCCCAGATTATGTCCAAAATGCCATTTTTCTGTGCTATTTTGCGGCCTCCTGTTTTATTATGGAAGAATCTTTTCTAATGCATTAAACAGATCTTAAAATGAGGAAAGTTTTGAGGGGTCGGCATCGTTAGAATGGCCAAGTACACGGACAGTTCAAAGCTTGGAAGTCAAGGTAAGAGAAGGAATTTTGAGCAAATTATATACAAAATACAGCAAAAGGACCGTGTTATTTTGGTACTATTTTGCGGCCTGAGAATTACACGAAATTGCGAAAAAACTTTCGCTTCATTGGGCTCTTGGACATTACTTTTCAACAAGAGGTCGGCACTCAGAATTGAATTTATTAAAACTGCCAAAAAATCGGATTTTTGTTCAAATTCAATACATTTCTTAATAGCTTTGGAAGCCATTTTGAAGCATCTATTTCATTAGCATGCGGTATTTTGTCATGTTAAATGAATCAGATTTCTGGTAATGAATAACTAAGGTTAGCAAAGTCTAGAAATAACCATAAGGATATTAAATGTGGGAATGGTAAGAATTGTTGCTTGCTTGATGTCCTTAGGCGAAACAATTAATTCTTAGGCGAAACGGTGCTTTGGCGAAACAATGCTTGCATGCATAAAATTTTGTTAACGATCTTGTTTACTCGAAACCGGTTTTTGTGACGACACTTGCCGAAAATTTCGCTTCGTTTATTGAGTAAATTGTCTTTGTTTATGTCTTTAAAAATGCAAAATTTTTCTCCCAAATATAAATTGCAGCGTTTTGATCCCCCTGTGTACGAAATAACGTGTTTTAAAATTGACCATTTAATGGTATAATCCTGCTTGTTTTCTTTTAATTTCCAAATATGTTACGCAAGTTCCGTTTTGTTTGAGTCTTTTCATGACGAAAAGATGAAGTGTGGTTAGCGTAACGTTCCTCAATTAAATGTAGTCGCTGTCATACCAATGTAGTGTTTAGTGTTGTTGTTCGTTGTGACTGTGGCTTTGTAAATAATGTTGTTGGTCATACATTGGTTCGGTAGTGGGAAAGTGCTTTTGTTGTCGCAGTTACAGTTGTACGTTTCCGTATTCTGTGATTGGCTGTTCCTAATTATATGTGTGTTTTGATTGGTGATTATATATAGACTTAACGTTGTTCATGCAACTATAGCTTACTTTTAAAGTGTTTCTGTTGAAAATCTTGTGTAGTTTGTGCTGTAGTGGAAAGCGTTTGTCAATTAAACTTAAGAATTCCCGTCCTATGTTCGTGTTAACAGTGTTACTAAATGGTGGGTTGAACCAAATTATGCCGTGCGTTCCCTATTCCTACGTGTCCGTTGCGATGCATCCTGAGTGTACGTAAATTCGTGATCAAAGTTACTATGTCTAAGGGCGTTCTGGTGAATAGGCGTAGATTCCCTAAATGTTTGTTCGTCCGATGAGAGAAGTGCAATGCGTTTGTTGATAGCCGTAGGTAATTTTCTCGTAATGCTTGGTGGATGGTTTGAATGTCTGTTGATGTACAATGGGTTGTCATTGGGTTTCCTATATGGTTTGTGTTTTACGTTGTTCAGGTCTAAAGTAACATCTAAAAAATTTACAATGTCAAATTTACTTCGGCGGTGATTTTCAGGTCAAATTGCTCGTAAATTTTGTGTTACTCTTCTCTAGTTTTGTCTAGTAAACGGGCGGATTTGCTTCTTATAATAGCCAAACCGTCATCTGTATAAAGGCCGATGTTTTCCCTTGCCAAACCTCTTACCTAAGTGATTTAAAATGAAAAGCCCTACCAGCTCACAAATTTCAGCGCCGTCGAAACTACCCATAGTGACGTCAAATGGACTGTTGCTTCCGTTATTTTTTGTCCATAATTTGCCGTTGCCGAAAAGTAGAAATTTTCTTGCATGTTTTATTATTGAAATATGGTTTTTTCATAAATAAAGACAATTTACTCAATAAAAGAAGCGAAATTTTCGGCAAGTGTCGTCACAAAAACCGGTTTCGAGTGAGCAAGATCGTTAACAAAATTTAATGACCCAAGCATTTTTCGCCTAAGCACCGTTTCGCCTAAGAATTAATTGTTTCGCCTGGGCATTGCTTCGCCTACACGCATTCCACGCATTCTTTCGATAGCATAAACGCAACCTACATTTTCGAAATTACCCACCACCTGACGATTCCTATACGGTTTATACGATTCCTATTTTTGAAGTAAAACAAAAAACTATATTACGCTCTATCTATATGGTATTGAGCACTGTTTTTGTTTCATAAACCAAAAATTTGAGCTATATTTGCACCCGGTAACCGGTTGTGCACTCTTGTCTACGTTATTCATTTTATTTCTACTTCAAACATGCGACAATTTCGATTCGATTATTTACTGAAGAATATTCTTATACCATCACAGGATGCTTACTTAAAGAATTTGATTGAAAAAGTGGAAAACGTAACAAAACGTAAGAGATGGAAAACTAATTTCTTCCTAAAAGGATCAACAACTCAAAACCAAAGCAACCTTTTCCGCATTTCGTCCAACAAATCGCCTCCATCAATTACATTTTAGAAACCTTTCGAAGACGACTTGATAAAACTAATTGAAAACGTAAAATTCCGGCGTTCTAAAGACCAATTTTAGACATCTTTGGCCAACAATTTGAAGAAAATTAATTCATCCCCCAATATTTTCATTTTCGCCGACAAAACTAGAAACATTTACGAAACGTCATTAAACACATACAACGACCTCTTACATGACAACATCACGAAAACGTACAAACATGGATCAGACGACTTTATAGATGAAACACGCCGGTCTATTTCGCGACACAGAAGGCCATGATTTTTGTCTGCGAAAAATATCCAAGATGGCGGTGAAATATTCAAAATGGCCGTCATGGCTATTTTCGGATTTCCAAATTAAAATTTGATGTATATGAAGGTATTGAAAATTTCAACCTGAATGATTCTGCTGCTCTGATCGCGTGTAAATATAATGACCGTTCCCATAGCATCGTCGCGAAATCCGTACAGGGTGGAGGATGTTGCCGTTTTTTTCCATCACTGACACTAAACCCGATGAACTTTGCGTTCTTCCTGTCCGCATCGGAAATGATAGGAGTTTGAAGAAATCCGGGTGAATAACCAGGTATTCGGATAAAATCGTACTGTACTGAATTTTTTCCAGGGCTATTCAACCTCACGATGTCGTTCGCATGTTTGACAACCTCTGCCGTGTTCCCCTGCTGTGCCTTCTCGACTGTTGTCAACTTCCGCCCCAAGGTATTCAGGTCTTCCGTTATTGTATCAAAGTAATCGTACCCAAATAAGATGCTCATTTAATTTAACGTCGAAATACTAGGTATGTAATTCCGAAGGATGCTGCTGCTGCCGTACCAAGGGCAATATTCTGGGTATCAGACTTCTGCCTAAATTCCGGGGATTTAAAATCCTCTACAGTTGGAATTGGTCTAATAACACGACTTTCTTCTGTATTGTTTGTAGGGGTAAGAGTAGGAGTAGGATCACTAGTGTAGTTTACCTTCTCATTTTTTCCAAACATCATCCCATTCTTAGCTACCGTTAGAACATTGCTGAACCCTGGAATAGGTTTCATTAAAATTCTCAGATCTGAAGGGATTAGGATTAGACCTGGCATGATAGCAAAATTTAGGACAACATGCGTGTTTGCGATGGCTGTCCTCATGTTGGAGATGGTAACTGTCACATCAACTTGAACAACTGTATCCCGTGCTACCTTCCGGAAGAGATTTTTGATATTAGGCAATCAGCCTACACATTCTGCTCATTGTGCAAATCCAATATTTCTAAAAATTATAAACATAAAGGCCTTGACCCTTGTGATCAAGACAACAATTAAAATAATGTATGGATAAATTGTTGTTGATTCAATCTAAATTTTATAAATCTACATTTCTTAATTTTAAATTTTTTTTCGGTCCACTTTCTCATGTATGTAGTTACCAGTTCATCTCCACCAATTTTACATTCACGAAGTCGACGAAGCCTACTATCTGACAGTTCACCATTGTCTGCTATCAGTGCTACAATATCTAAGAGGTTTGTAGTCTTGTTAACAATGACAAAAAATGGTCAATACATGAAAAGTTTAGTATATTTTTCATGTGTTATTTGTTTCTAAATTAAATACAGAAATCCTTTAGAAGAGGACACACTATCTGGTAACGAGGATGACTCAGATAGTGAATATGATGATAACACAACTCTGACTGCATCGACCATCATGCCCATGGATGAAAGTGTTGAGTATGTTGCAATTTTATATACATGTACTGTAAATATGTGGATAATCTGTTCTTAGGCTAATTACAAACTATATGGCAAAGATGCCAAGTCTGAGTCTGTTTATATCATGTCAAAATGGTCTCAAATCATTATGGTGTTATCTAACCAGTAACCCTTACAAAAATTTCTGCACAGCTTCAGCGCTCCAAACTCAAAACACGGTTGCTGGGAAAATGTCCCCGAATTCTAATGAAAGGGTTCATGCCTGCCGTGAACCCTTGGAAAGTCCTCATTTCCTGGGCACTTGAAAAGTCCTAGAAAAATCCAAAATCAGATAAAGTGCTTGAGAATTACACAAAAATATAAATGAAGTTAAGTTCTGTAACATCTAAATATGTCAAGACGTTTTGAATAAATAAAGTCATGCTTTTATACGGCTGCGATTTTCAAGGATTTCATTTCATTATTAATGATTACCAGTGACAAAAGTGTTGGGAAAGTTTGAATTCAGTCATTGAAAAGTCATTAATTTTGTACAGTATAGCAGACCCTGTAATGGTCCACCCCTATTATGGCCTTCAATTATAGATTACCGCCGCCCTTGAAAGCATCATTCATTGAGGAAGAGGTGTTCAACACAGAAATTGGTGGCCACAATGATGAGGAGTTGGCACAAGATGAAGGAAATGAGTCATTCGTCAAGCGAATAAGTGTGGAGGATGCTATTCATCAGGAAAAGTGTGTTGTTTTTACAGATGCAATCATGTCATTGCTAAGAGAATTACATGGGAGCATTTGTAAGCAACAGGGATGTGGTCGTGTGCTGGAATATAGAAAAAGTTATGTTGCTGCATGTCTGATTGTATCCTGGATATTACTGGATATTATTCAATAATCTGTAAGAGTGACAAACAGTATCCATGGGTTGTTATACTGTACAGTCTGTAGCATTTTTGTGAGTATTTTTGTGAGATGTTAAGGGCTTATTTTCAGAAGTTTACGGTATCTTTCCACTAATTGTTCTTGATGATTGGCCTGATTTTCTTGAGCATTTGGTTAAGATTGAAGTTGGTCCTGTCCTCTTGAATTTTGTTTGGAACTACTAGCTCCAGCTTGACCCCTGCCTCGTCCTCGTCCCCGTCCACTTTTCTTGGTTTGACCACTTCCCCTACCACGTCCCCTGCCACGTCTCCTGCCACGTCCCCTACCACGTCCATTGCCACGTCCCCTACCTCGGCCTCTTCCTCCAGCTCGGCTCCCCTGTTTGTTTCCTGCCACGTTACCTCCTGCCTCACTCCCTGCTGTGTCCCCTGCGTCTTTATCTGCGGCGATCTCCTCTCCCGTTATGTCGCCTTCCTCATCAGAAGGGTCCTGTCTTTCTCCGTGTAAAGAGAAGACACAACAAACAACACGAACGACACTAAACACTACATTGGTATGACAGCGACTACATTTAATTAAGGAACGTTACGCTAAACACACTTCATCTTTTCGTCATAAAAAAGACTCAAACAAAACGGAACTTTCGAAACATATTTGGAAATTAAAGCTTGCGCGAGAGAAAATTATCATTCAATGTCAATTAGCACACAAAGATCACAGAATGCTTATCGCTCAATATTAAATTAAACATATAAGTGGACAAAATTCGTATCACAGTCGGCAAAACCCGTTTATCAGTGATAGTGCTGATAGGTCGGCAGCTTAATAAATTCACTGGGACAGTTAGCAGTGTATGCTGGATTACATGCAGTAAATCATTATTTGACTGTTACAGTAAAACATTATAATTATTTGATAGTAAAGCATTTGCTATCATATTTTTTCCGGTCGAATTGAGTATAACATTACAGTAATTCTGTTTATGGTAATGATGATAAATAACTTTATACATTTATCATTTATAGACCTGGAGCGAGGGGGATTCGGCAAAATATTACCCGAAGTGATGATATTTCCCGAGGGGTTTTGCCCCGAGGGAAATATCATCACTGAGGGTAATATTTCGCCGAATCCCCCGAGCGGAAGGTCTATAAATGATATATTATACCGAAAATTAAAAGCCTCCAAGTTGAGAATTAAAAACTTAACACATTACACATACCTTCGGCTTCGTGAATACGATGTTTTATTTTCGGATTAACGCCGTCAATGCCGTTTTAGTACTTTTGGTCGTGTTTTTAGAATGTCTTTCGTCTAAAATTCTGGCAATTTCTAGATCTTCTTCCGATGCAGAATCATGGCTGGCCATTTTGAATTAAATAAATAACAATTTCCCGCTTTTTTCTCCACACGTCAGTTTCGTGAGTTGCGTGGCTTCCACGATTTTAAATATCCACCGCTGTACCGGTGAATACGAGGTGGGCGCTGGTCAAAAGGACTGCAGAAATTAATATCCACCGCTCTACCGGTGAATACGATGTGGGCGCTGGTCAAAAGGACGGCAGAAACTAATATCTACGAGTAGATGTTGGAATACGACGATATATTTCATCCTCACGTGGGCAAAATGGAGCATTTTAATTGGACGTTTTGAATTTGAGGTATAATATTACTTATAACCTACAGTGAAATTCATATCACGGGTGCCGGTATACTATACGGCATGATTTACATAGTAATACCATGATGACCTCGGGTTCTTTTGTTCTCACCGGGTGGTTTAATCACGATATTCCCGGCTTAGCGGGGAGATATATAATTCTCCCGGCAAAGCCGGGCAGATTTCTAATTTCTCCCTGATTAAAAGTCATGAGCCAAAATTCAAAGACACGACAAGGAGTTTTTTTAATAGCTTTTACACAACAAGCAAAATAATTACACTACAATGTTAAAGGCACAGTTTAGCCTTTTGAACGATGGTTTTTAAGGCGCATTTCAGCCCTTTTAATTGAAAAAACTAACTAGGAAAATCAATTAAGCATAATTCAAAATCAGTAAACTCGATGTTTTTAACAATAAAAATGTTTTAAAATGTTAAAAACATTGAGTTTGGTGATCTTGAATTATGCTTCACTGATTTTCTTAGTTAGGTTTTTCAAGTAAAAGAGCTGAAATGCGCCTTAAAAACCATCGTTCAAAAGGCTGAACTGTGCCTTTAATGACAGTAAGATAAAGTGTTAATTACTCGACTTATTAATATTCACTTTTCACTAAACATTTCACACAACTATATTATAAAGACAGTAATTTATTTACTTATATTAATGTTGATGTTCATAGTTCCACAATTAGCTCCTTGTAGTAGTCCGCTCAAATCTAGTGTCGAACTTGCACGTTGTTCATAATCTATACATGCATTTACGAGAGTTTCGTCGTGAATATCTAACATTGAATCAGAATTTGAGGTAGAACTACCAGACAAAACATTTGAGACGAGGATGTTGTCACTCGCGTCTTCTCTTTGATATGTTAGCACACCTTCAATGGATCGATGACCGCTTCTTTTCATGATAGATTTTTCCGGCACACCAGCATGATACAAACAAGTGATTGATGTTACTCGTCCAGAGTGATTAGTGAAATTTCCCGTTAAACCAGCATCTTTGCACATTTTTTTAAACCGTTTCTCCAGCATATTCCACCCAATTGGTCTGGCTTCAACTACAGGTTATCGCTGTAAGACCATTTTCGTTTAGCTTGCAAGTAAAACGGACCATCAGCCGGTATGTTGGGACTAAAAATATAAAAAAATATTAGACGTAATTAGTGTAACAAGCATATATTCAACATGAGCTCCACCTTTGAATTTACTATATGAGTAAATTCTTAAACACGTCCGAATTTATCATTATGATAAATTCGCGGCACATTTTGAATTTATCAGTAGAGTTAATCATAAAACCACAATTATTGCACAAGGTTTCTTGTTATAAATGTAATGGCACTAAATCTTTAGTTTTTAAAAAAGTTTTAAAAAGTTTTAATAGAGTTTTGAAAAGCAAGAAAAGTTTAAAAAGTTAGATTTTTAAAAAAGTTTAAAAAATTTAAAAAGTTAAAAAAATGAGGGTTAGGGGTTAGTGGTTAGTGGTTTGGGGTTAGGGGTTAGGGGTTAGGGGTTAGGGTTAGGGGTTAGTGGTTAGGGTTGGGGTTGGGGTTAGGGTTAGTGTTAGGTGCCGCGAATTTATTATTATGATAAATTCAAGATTTGCCGCGAATTTATCATAATGATAAATTCGGACGTGTTTAAGAATTTACTCATATAGTAAATTCAAAGGTGGAGCTCATGCTGCATATATTATATACTACTAGAAGTTACTAACGCAAGGAAGTGCTGCCTCGCGGCGAAAACTTGGGTTAGGTTGTTCAAAATCTGTTTATAATCCGTGGATAATTCAAAACTAAATAACACTATAATAATTTAAACAATGAAAATCGTATTTTACTGTAACAATCGCGTGCATATATGTTAGCTAGCTACAACAATATTCTAATTATCTAAAATTAAGAAAACAGTTCTCTGTCACGAATCGGGTCATTTTCTGAGCATTCCAAACAATAGTAGCTAATAAAATTTAAGTAATTATGGGTCATTCCACGGCTTATTTCTCCGGCAATATATGTATAATGTGACCCGCAGGGCTATCTCCACACATTTAGCTATTATGCGATTGTCACTAAGGTTAATTTGCGGATTTTGCAATATTCTTAGACACAAAGTCAATGTGGTCACTTCTAGAGTAATAACCTGGAATGACTCACAGTTAATAACACTACAGAGTGTATAAAAAAAAGGCTAGTCTTTGAAATTCAAATTAGTCATATTATATTGAATTTATCATTACTGTTAATCAATTAGCGAGCCGTAAAACAAAAGATGTTCTACTTATGGGTCATGTACTGACAACTCAATAGACATCTTTCGCATAAGCCAAAGCCATATGATAATGAGCCACAAACAGTGATAAGTCATTTGTTTATGGTAATACGATGCAAATAACCACACCACTTTGCCTCGCTTCATTTAATTCGGCATTTTATTGTCAAATTAACTACAATTCAGAAAAACAGTGTAAATGTGTAAACCACTATTCCTCAAACACATCATTTCTTCTTGTATACACTTACACACACACACAACCTCAATTCAACTTTTCAGTCACACTACTCATTACTACATTAGTCAGAATCTGAACTATCTAACTTGGTAATTAAAGAACCTATTTTGTCCATCATCACAAGGGCCTTCTTGCACATTGTTGTATGTGCTGCATATGCGGCCCTTCCGTCTTTTCTTCTTTCTCGTCGTCTTTTCTTGTCAACTCTTTGGGGTTTGGTTTGTTTGAAGTCAACGTTCATTTCATTTTCGCTGCTGTTGGGTGCTTGTGGTGTATTATTCGCTGGTCTTTGCATTTCCAAACCGCTTGTGCCTTTGCCATCATCCTCTTTAGGACCCATTATCATTTCGTCGTCGGTGCTACTGCTTACATTGGCTGCAGCTATTGCTAGTTTTTGTTTTATTCGCTGCTCTGGAGTCTGTTTTGTGGCATATCGCATATCTTTATTATTTATTGTTGACAGCATGGATGAGGACTGGTTTGGCTTGCTAATTTGGGAATGTTTGCGTTGTTGATTGATAATCCTCTTTATCCTTTTGATGGCGGCCTTTCTATTCGTTTTGTCGTAGTATTCTATAGTCTTTTCTTTATGTCCAGGCAAGTCCCCAACACGTGTCTTAACGTAATCCAGAATGTTGCTCCATCCTGTACAAGCTTGATACGCCTCCACGATAAGATTTTTTTCAGACGGAGTTATGCAGCAGCGTTTTCGTCTTGTGGTGTCTGTGGTCAGTGAACCTTCCTCAACTGAATAGAAAATAGATTTAAGTCAGTGAAATATTGAAAAGATTCCTCATTACCACAAAATATGTCAATATATACCTGCAGAATCTTCGTTAGAGCTATCAAAAGTAACAGGTCTCCAAAGTTTTGCCATGATGAGCTTCAAAGTGCTTCTACCCAACGGAGCGTATGAATGATGCGATATGCAGTTTATCAGGTTTTTAAGGACTGCTCCTAACTGTTTCTGTGATATGTAGTTAAATTAATAACAAAATGCCGAATTAAATGAAACGAGGCAAAGTGGTGTGGTTATTTGCATCGTATTACCATAAACAAATGACTTATCACTGTTTGTGGCTCATTATCATATGGCTTTGGCTTATGCGAAAGATGTCTAATGAAATACCCTGTGCAGAACAAGCAGCATTATAATGAAGTTATAATTGATCTCTTTTGTAAATAAGACATGTTTTCGTCGCGTATCATTAACTCTACGCAGTTTAGAACAATGAGATCACTGTAATTATGACTATAATTTGAATTTCAAAGACTAGCCTTTTTTTATACACACTGTATTAATAATAGATAAATATAAAGCACAAGAGCCAAAAACTGTTAATACTATTAACAATGGAAATATTACATTATGTATACCATAACAACACTATTATATAACCATAACACTATTAATAATGGAAGCCACATATCTTGTTAGCAGTTAAAATTATTAATGAAATTACAACACTATACAAGGCTGTACAACACTATACAATGTTATACATGGCTATACAACATTATATATAAGGCTATACGAAACTATACGACACCACATGGTGTATAAAAAAAGTTTGTAATCCAAGTGAGAATATATACATTTTAAGACCTAACCAGGAACGTCTGCGAAAAATGCAGCAAAAGGCCCTCTGGTAGGAATTGAACCTACGGCCCTGCGATTCCGGTGCAGCGCTCTAACCAACTGAGCTACAGAGGCCAGCTGTTGAGCTGTAACCGTAAGTTCATGTATATATAGGTAATCGGGTGTGCGGTTTGTGATAAGGTGGACTTGAATAACTTAGGTTCGTGCACTTCACTTGGTGGAATTAATATTAGGATGTTAGGGTTTGTAATCCAAGTGAAAATATATACATTTTAAGACCTAACGAGGAACGACTGCGAAAAATGCAGCACAAGGTCCTCTGGTAGGAATTGAACCTACGGCCCTGCGATTCCGGTGCAGCGCTCTAACCAACTGAGCTACAGAGGCCAGCAGTTGAGCTGCAAACGTAAGTTCAGAGGACCTTGTGCTGCATTTTTCGCAGTCGTTCCTGGTAACCGCACACCCGATTACCTATATATACATGAACTTACGGTTACAGCTCAACAGCTGGCCTCTGTAGCTCAGTTGGTTAGAGCGCTGCACCGGAATCGCAGGGCCGTATGTTCAATTCCTACCAGAGGACCTTGTGCTTCATTTTTCGCAGTCGTTCCTGGTTAGGTCTTAAAATGTATATATTCTAACTTGGATTACAAACCCTAACATCCTACTATTAATTCCACCAAGTGAAGTGCAAGAATCTAAGTTATTCAAGTCCACTGTATAAAAAAAACGCAACCTCGGAATTTCCCAAGAAATCGACATTGTTTTAAGGACAAAAGATTTTAGGTGCCTGGGAATTTAAAATAGAACAACTGTCAAAATTACTGCACACGCGAGTGCATAAAGCAAAATATTTGCGTTTATTTAATGACACTTAATAAGTTCTTATTTTACAAGTACAGTACCACAACAGTGATATGATCTACAGGGTGTCTCAAAAAAACCCAAAATCATTGAAATTGACGTATTGTTCGATATTCAATGCCCTAGCACTAAGTTAATCCCACGAGTGCATAAAAGATTGACATAACTGCTATAATGAATGGTAATACTCAGCGTGAACTTGTTATGTCAGGCATAAAGTACTAAACCCACGAATGCATATTACGCATATTACGCATATTACAATTTACGAAGCATTTTTAAATTCCCATGAGCAAACAAACGTTCACTTTACAAAGATATTTTAATTTTTTAAAACAAATTAATCACCCTGTCAAAATCCTTTGTGTTACGGCATTGAAATTCGAACAATACGTTATTTCAATGATTTTGGGTTTTTTTGAGACACCCTATATTAGCAAATCGATTTCAATTCCCAGGAGCCTGAAATCTTTTATGCTTAAGAATTGCAAAGTGGATTTCTTAGGAAATTCCGAGGTTGCGTTTTTTTATACACCCTGTATACAGCGTTATACAAGACTATACGACACTATACAAGAGTATACAACACTTACGACACTACACAATCATATACAAGCCTATACGACACTACAACACTATATAATGTTATACAAGACTATATAACAATATATAAAGGCTATACGACACTATACAACGTTATACAAGACTATACGACACTATACAACGTTATCAAGACAATACGACACTATACAACGTTATACAAGACTATGCAACAATATATAAGGTTATACGACACTATACAACGTTATACAACACTATAAAAATTATGACAGTATACAAGATTATACATGACACTATACTACACTAAAGAAGACTATATACAACACTACACAACGTTATGC